TTTTTTTAAAAGAAAAAGAAGAAATAACTTGTAGAAGTAAAGAAGAATACTCTCCACGCCTCTTTTTAAGAGAATTTGTAAGTAGAGTGTCGTTGTCTCACTTATCTTCAAAAATATATTTGAATGATATTAAAAATGTCATCTCCTTCTCGAATTTTCAACAAGTAAATTATAGCTGACCATTTTTACTAGTAGAAATGATATAGAATTTTAAGTTATGAGTTCTGAACTCTCGCAATCTTTTAAGATAGGATTTTAACCATACTCTTTATAAATGTTGAGTGATTACCACAATATAATATAACTGAAATATTAACATATGAAGTGTTTAAGACATCATTTGACATGTTGTCTCTCATTTATCGACTTAAACTTTCAGAGAAAGCACACTTCTAACCACTCAATTATAGTATATTTCAACCATTCCCCTTATATCTGGTTAAAATATTTTGATGGATTAAATACATGAATATATTCTCTATGATTTCTAGCTTGCTTTGATGTAATACTAAATTGTGGTTTGTTATTAAAAAAATGTATTATCTTATTCATCTCAATTTTTGTACCTTTTAAATCGTTATTTATTCTGATGTATAATACTCATTATTTTTCTCACGTACCAACTGAGCTATTATAGTATGACACGTGTCTTTCATTATCATAATTCTGGCCACACCTCAAATCACGTCACAACATATTTTAGCAGTATCTCAAAATATCATAGTTTGATTTTTCTAAAAAATAAATTACCTTTCTAAACATCGTTATTTCCAGTTTTTATATAATAAAACAAGATAGGCCCCTAATTAAGTCATTTGGTTGGAGTAACAAACAACATATTGAGATTTTGGTCTCCCAAGTCAAAATGCTATTTTTTTTTTCCATTTGTGAACTAAAAGAGCTAGAAATCATGGAAGATCATGTAACTTAAAACAAATATAATACAAAGGTTTTTCACAAATATTTTTCTCCAAGCTTATTTAAAAGACAGAATTCTTTTTAACATTTTACAACCTAATTTTTTTTTTAAATCACTACGTTAGACGTTTCTCTATGAAACGGGAATATTCCACAAAATTAAAAATTCTATTTTACATACATACAAAAATATAGTTTTGTATTTTCACCAAACAGATTCAATTGAACTCTTTTCAAAACATGTTAAATGAAGAAGGTGATCGATGATGGTGGTCATGGTCTTTATCAATCTTGCCCCGAATATATAGAGGATGATTGAAATATAAAATAGGGACGATAAATCGTAGTTGTTCTTCTTCTACTTGACCTACTTTTATCGCTAGAAATCCTTTTGGTACATCTTTACTGCCCATACTTACAAATAAAAAAATTCCAATAGGATTATATCGAATTTTTATAATATGATGATTGATTGTTCGCGACTTAGTTAAATGGGGTGGAGAGATTTGTTTTGTTTATATATTGAAAGAGAAGGCAAAGGATTAAGAAGGATAGTATGTTTAAAAGGGGTCAAAGATAATATAGTTGAAAAATGCCCATTCTCTTTTTTGTTTTGTTGTGGACCTACAATATTAGTTATAGCTTATAAATTCGATAAAATTCAATAATTTAAATTTAAATTTTTTGGTTATATAAAATAATAAAATTAGCTATCTGATATAAAAGATGAAATAGTGAATTTTCATGAGATGTATCTATCCTATCCTAGTAACTGAACGAACCCTAAATCCTTACTCGCCGCAAAGGAACGTCTTTTAACATGTTCAAGTAGACCATCTTTGGGTGCACAATAGAACAAATATAAGTTAATTTTTGAAAGAAAAAAAATAAAATTTTGATTTTAAATAATTATAAAATTAAGTATTTTGATCCTAATACTTCAAATCATTTAGTTTTAGTTCAGTACTTGAAATGAATAACGTACTAGTTACGTCTTTTATCTATGTTGTTTTGGAAGCAAACAAAAATATAAGACAGTCAATTCCATTAATTGTAGTTGTAGGACCATATAGGGTTGCATGTCCTGCACAAGTTGGCTACTTACATGTTAGAAAGAGTTGTCAATATGAATCGGTTTGTTTTATCTCAATTAATTTATACGGTCTTTGAATTTGGATGGTTCAGATTAAACTAATCAATTATCTACGCAAGTTAGAAAACATCAGATAAATCTATCACTATATAGTTAGCAAACTAAGCTAGACTTATGCACACTGAGCTAAAAAAACTTATTCTGAAATAGACATCAAAAATCATAATTTAACTTTATTAAATTATGAATTGGCTCGATGAGCCTAGTCCATATTGATGGCTCTGCTTACCCCTTGAAACGTTGGTCCATTCACGATTTTGATTAGAAAACTTAAGTTAGGACGACAATTGTGTCTTTTTCAATTTCTTCTTGCTTCCATGATCAAGAATTTATAGGTCCCTCACAATATCTACTTAATGTATCATGTCTTTGAGATGATTTTGGAATTAAATCTTAAACCACAAAAATTTACATGCCTATCTATGCCAGAATTTTGTGGCTTAAGAATGACACCCTAGGTTGACTGCTTATACAAGGAGAATTACTCTCATCAGTATGTTTAGTTGCAATTTTACTTTGTCTTCGTACACTACTAGAAATAAGTTGTTTTCCAACTACAACTGCCGACTATAAATGTGTAATCAGAAATTTGGGTAATTTTTCGACTACTGTAATCGGTACATTAAGATTTATATACGTATATACAAATATTGCTTGCATAAAAAATAGGGTATCTTACAGAAATGTATCGCATGGTAAAAAAATTTTAGCTAAATAGAAGCATGTATATGTAATGTATTTATATTATACAAGTGAAGGAGTATATATTTATATGATGTATAACTAAGTATAACAGATGTATATATATTCTTATACATTTTTTATACAATATTTATACATTGTTAGATACAACAATTCGTCTTTCTCAACGAGCTAAATTGTTTTTTTTTTCAATTTCGACCAACTCAGATCTCATGTAAACAATCTCAAATTTTAGATATGAGCTTCTTTAGAAATAGATGTATAACTAAGTATAAGAGATGTATATATATTCTTATATATTTTTTATACAATATTTATGCATTGTTAGATACAACAATTCATCTTCCTCAATGAGTTGAGTTGTTCTTTTTTTCAATTTTGACCATCTCAGATCTCCTGTAAACAATCTCAAATTTTAGATATGAGCTTCTTTAGATGTTTTGATTCTTTCGATATAGTATTCACTAAGATTGTCAAATAAGCGAGTTAAGTTGAAATTAGGCATGTCAAAATGAAATTGAGTGAATAAGCATATTATTGACTCATCTAAAAGTTATTTAGACTGAAATAGATTAAAAGTTGAGTCATAACTCAATCTATTCAATTCTTATTTAATTGTTTTCCTTATATTATAACTGTAACATAACAAATAAATAAAATATTTTTCAAGTATTCAAACAAATTTTCTCATGAGTTAATCTGAGTTGCATATCATCTCAGTTTTCAAATGAGCTTAATTAAGCAAATCAAATTATTGAGTTGATATAAAAGAGGGTCATTCACCTGCTCAAATCTAAACAAGTTGGATCATGATATTATGAGCTAATTTTGTCACCTTTACTATATACTTCCTTCAATTCGTCGGACTTTCAATTTATGTTGCATATAATCTCAGTTTTCAAATGAGCTTAATTAAGCAAATGAAAATAATTAAATTGATAAAATAAGAGGGTCATTAACCCACCCAGACCTGAACAAGTTGGATCAATTATGATATTATGAGCTGATTTTGCCACACACACATTTTAGTACATTTTATCCTTAACGAGAAATTAAAGGTGTAAACTCGCTTTGTCCCATTTTGATGGACACTTGAGCTAAAAAAAAATAGACATTCCAAAATAAATGTTACTTTAGAAATTCAAGACTAATGTTAGTAATTATTTACAATTATATCCTTAATAATAAGGAAATGAAACATCTATTTAAAAAAAAATAGAGGTAACTTAGTAAACTATATATACCGGCTTATATTTATTTTATTTTTTTATTAAATATGAAAAGTGCTAAAATGACCATTAAAATGGAAAGAAGACAGTACTAAATAAATGCTACGGATGCTTAATATCAAATTTCAAAAATCTTATACCTACACAAATAAAATAAAACATTATTAACCACAAATTTGAAAAGTAATCTTTTATAAAAAATAAGAAAAAAATCTTGTCTATTCAAATTTAGCTACATAAATTGAAACTGAAGCAACAGATGATTTAACAGTGAGTCTATCACTATAAGATTCCATTTGACAATAGATCCCAACAACTTTCTAAGGATGCAAATGGTCCTTTTCTCATGGATAGAGATCAAATATTAAATCGAAATTTAACAAAACAATTTTTCTTTAGAGAAAATGGTTATAAAAAAAATGCTCTTAAGCTATGTGAAATGAATAAAAATGTCCTCCGTTAATAAATTGGCTAAAAAATACTTTTACCGTCAATACTTAAGTTCAAAAATGCATTTATAGTGAAAGTATTGATTGCAAGGACCTTTTTGAACCAAAATATTAACGGCAATGACATTTTTTAAGCCAAACTATAAACGGATGACATTTTAATTAATCTCTATCCTTTGTTTTGTAATTTAAATCTTTATATGGAATGAAATGCAACACTCCCAGGATCACTAGGAAATTATTATTTTTTTAAAATCATGAATTTAAAGTGAAAACTTGAAATTTGAACACACATTTGATTGAAAAATATTAAAGTATTGTGAGTGAAAGTCCAAATAACCCAAAAATTGTTCTAAACCAATTTTTGAAAATTTGAAAATATTTATAGAACAAATTTTCAAAAAAAGCGATTAAATTTTATAATCACACAAATATTTGAAAATTTATGGTTCTCCAGCATACTTTTTTACTTGAGAAATCTAAGTTTTCTAAATTCTTAAACGATATGGGTAACCTAAAGGTGGTGTTAGCTTCTGCAGCCTGCAGGTCTATATAAAACAACATTACTCTTAGGTATTCATTAAGGACTCAAATCTAATAGCAACAAGAACAATCAAACCTAGTCCTATTTGCACAAAAAAAATTAAAAAATATTAGTATAAAAAGAACAATCACCAAATATTAAACAATATTCAAACCAAAATAAAATTACTCCAGCTAGTACTTTTTCCTATACAATGTGGCTAGAAGTAGCTAGTGTCCAGATACTGCAACAACAACAATAACATATTCAGTATAATGTTTACTATAAAAAAATAATTAATTTTGACCTTTAATTATATAAATATGATATGAAACGATGCAACCTTTGATCAATGTGTTCAACTAAACCTACAAAATTTCAACACGATAACCTTAAAGGTTGAACATGTCAATTTAAATCATCAATCTGTTCCTAGACATGTGTCTTAAAGACAAATAAGAAAAATGCACAAATTCTATCTTGGAATTATATCAAATTAACTCACATTTTTGTTACGGTAGAAACAATTGTTAGAGTATAAAATATTTACCAAATGCTACTATATGTATATTGTGGAGATTAATTAAAATATTCCTCAAGTGAGTTTAGTTTCCCAACGTTGAAAACAAAACTCGAGAATACATTAATAGCAGAAATAATGTAAACTATGGGATAATAAAATACAACATAATCTTGATATTATCAAAACAAAATGGTCAGATCTAGTAATATATAGTAATGCATATTAAAAGCTTATGTTATTTCAACAATATATTAGTATTCTCGTAGATTTATCCTTCAAATTGTTGATATGTAATATTTTGTAGCACAGAATAACATAATTTATCCAAAAAATTTACCTTATATTCATATAAACAATATAATACATTATGAAATAATATATAGCAATCACCCAAACAAAGTGTTGAAAATAGATAGTACTAAAATTGTGTGTTTGTGTGAGATAGAGAGAGTGAGAAAAACCTTTGAAAACCAAAAGAAGAAAAGGGTTTTGAACAGATCTGGAAAAAAAAATCATCATCATGGCCACAATCATAACACAATGATGAACAAAAGTATATGTCTTTTTATTTACTGACAAAATGAAACAACATAGTATCAACAAAAAAAAGGTTGTAATCATGAAAAAAATTGAGAATCTGAAAAAAAAAAACCACTAAAGTCAAGATCCTTATCATTACACCAATCAGCAAAAAAAAAACTATAAATGACACACAAGTTATTTTAGGTTACATAAAACAAGTACAATTTGTCCAAACTGTTGGATACTAGTACATGAACAACTACAACTGAACAACAATAACAACATATAATACGCAAATCTTATCTCTGCCTCAAAAATAGAAAGACTGTTTCCGATATAGTCCACATAATACATGAAAAACTAATCAAAAGACTTACCTCTTGTAAAGATCTGAAATTAATTATGTGGTAGATATAATCTTTGAGGGGAATGAAGCCTGGTCCGACGACACCCAACAATATAATCAAAAATTCATAGATCTATCATAAATATTGTATAGATCTATGTAACAATATAGTAATTACTATAAAAATATGTATAAAAAAAAATTGATCAGGATTGAAGATTTCCTCGAGCCAGACAACATTCCCCACAAATAAAAAAATCTCCACTTTTGATTTCTTGATTTTTATTTTATATTTTGCTTATCTATTTTATTTCCCCCAAAACTTACGCCTTTGTTTTAGGGAGAAGAAAATAGAGAGTGTGATGATGAAAAGAATGATTTGGGGGATTATAAAAGGATGGTAAAAAAAAGAGTTGAAGTTGAAGAGGACAAAACCTATGGCCACACTCTGACCCTACCAGCTGGACTTCCAGAATTCACCACCACTGTTCTCTCCGTTTTAACTTGGTATAGAGTTTAAGAAAACAAATGAGATTTTCGATATTGTTATCTTGAATTAAAAGATATGTCAAATGTAGTAAAATATTTTTTAATCTCGTTAACTTAAGCATATCATGTGGGAAGTTGAAATTAAAGAATTGTTATATAAGGAAATAGAGGTTTTTTCTTAAAATAACTAAGAGTCTGTTTGAATTGGTTTATTTTAGGTGTCTTCAAGCCAAATTAACTTTGAAGTATTTTGTAGTGTTTGGATATTAAGAAGAAAAAAATTATAAGGGTTTTTTTTTAGGTTAATATAAGAAAAATAAGTCAAAAATTAGAATTTGTAACTTAATTTTTGACCTTATAAGTCATAATTCCATCCAAATATCTCTAAAAAGGAAGTAGGACCAAAAAAAATTGAAATGAAGGGAGTATGCTATTTTCTCTATTCAAATTTACACATGTATGAAATTTTGTGTTTGGTAGGTTAGTTTTGGTAGTGTGAGATGACTATATATGAAGATATATTGATAGAGTAGAGTATTTTTATACTTTATAAATGTATTATTTTAATCTAGTAATCTGTTTTATTTTTCATGGTAATAGATGACACTTAAACATTGATAATCTATAACAGAAAAGGGCCAAAATACCTCTAAATTATTTGAAATAAATTAAATTTATCTCTCATTATGTGTTTTTCTAAAAATATCCACGACGTTATGTTTTTGGCGTAAAAATGCTCTTAAACCATCAATTAACTCGAAATTACTCATTCTACTAATTGTTCCCAAAAACATTTTATCATACGTGAAAACCTCTCAAAATATCCATTTCAAAGGTATTCTTTAACTCTTTTTCTCATGTAAAAAAGATAAATGTACGTAAAAATCCTTACATATATAATTCAAACCTTTTTTTTACTGCTATGGGATGGGATAGAAATGTAAAGCTAATTGACCTAGTTATTAGAGTACATAATTATCAGTGCTCAATTAGCTAAGTCAGTGTAGTCAGTAAAAAGACATTCTAAACTGAGATAATTAATTGCTATTAATTTTTTTTTAAAAAAACACGCAACTAGATTTTAATTTACTAATATATGACTCATTAATTATGTCATCCATTCAAGTTGGTAAATAAAATAAAATAAAACATAGAATATTATTGTACAATAAATAACACAACTGACAATTCACTAAAAACGGTGTTTTGACTATGGTCGTGAGAGTAGTACATTGCTTATGAATCAAAGAAGACAAGGTGAAGGCTACATGTAGCCAACCATGCATCCATTTATCGTCGTATAAATTGAGGCAGAAGAAATATTTCTTGTATAGTTATATATATATATATATTTTTAAATATATTTAAATTTTGAACACATATTTAATACACTTGTAACAATAAAGATCTAAATCATGTTGTTTATACTCATTAAAAAAAAGTATTTAATCCAACATAATAGATTATTGTTTTTTGGAAATGTGAATTTAATTCTTATGCTCTTATATGAATAATACTAAAATTAATTTTTAGAATTTGGACCCATCATTTTGTATTATCTTTTTTTACTTGTAGCACATTTTAGAATATTAAATAATTACAAATAAAATTAAAGGAGTAATAATACACCTTAGGTTTGACAAAATTATTATGTTTTTGAAATAAATATATTTTTTACCAAATGGTCCAAGTCATTGATGCTTCTTTTACACATATATACACACATGTTATATATTCACCTTCCATTGATGGACACAACTATAATGGAGGGATTCTTTCTTACTTAAATTCAAAATCGAGATTTATGATTTATATATTCACTACTCCATTGATAGACACAGCTATAATGAAGGGTTTTTTTGCCTTAAATATTCATTCATTGGGTATTAATTATATAAAACAATTTTTATACCACAAAAGAGGTTGGGGGGTGATTAGGTACATGTAGAATTAAATGAGGCCATGCAAGTAAGTCAGAGGAGTAGTTGAGTTATGGGTTGCTCGATAGTTGAGAAAAACACAAATAAAAACAAGAAATATTATTACTCTCTCCATCTCATATTAGTTGATCACTTTTCTTGGTATATGTATATTAAGAAATCATAAATAAGACGATAGTTTTACCAATTCACCCCTTAAGAATTTCTTTGAAACTGTACAAACAAGTGTGACAGTGAACACTTACAGAAAAATTAATTGCTAGGATAATATGAGAAAAATCAATTAACACTTTTTTAATTTTAAAAATGATCAATTAATATGAAATAATTATTTTTAAATATAATAATTAAATAATATGAGATGGAGAAAATGACATTTTCGTACATATTCCAAGACAAAATGTATAGTGTATATTATAAGGAATGGGTCCATTAAGTTTTGAATTTGAAAAAGGCAAATAAAAAACAAGAAGAGGACCCTCGTTTAGCGCGTACCTTTTGGAACAGAAAACGAGAGGACGACCGACACATTGGGTCACCCTTCAATTTTTTCTCTATGTCTCTTTCTGTTTCTCACTACTCTCTCCGTTTAAAAAAAAATATCGTCAATGATATATAGATATTCTCTATCATATTTTTGGGACTTGATGTTTCTGTCATTCAAAAACTAGAGCATATATACTTTTTATTCTAATGGACATACATATGTCATAATCTAATCCACCGATCCGATATTTATTAAATATCGGATCGACGGATGAGATTGCGGCACGTACAGTGGCGGACGCAGAATTTCATTAAGGGGTGCCAATGGTTATAGTAAAAAAAATATAAATAGGCTAGTAGGGAATGAACACATGATCTCATGGAGTGTTTGCAAGCCTCTAACCAATAGACTAAACCTTCAACTTGTTTCAAGAAGTGTCAATATATGTATTTATATTTATTAAACTAAAATTTAATCACTATATACAATGTAATTCTCCGACGAAGGGTGTCGCTTGACACCCCTTGGACCAAGGTAGGTCTGTCACTGGGCACGTATCCCTATTTAGTCTTCCGTAGAGTGAATGACATATATGCTCTAGTTTTTGGATGGCAGGAGCACCAATGTCCCAAAAATATGATGGAGGGTATCTGCATACCATTAGTTCAGAGGCATATTTCTCATTTCTCCCTAAAAAAAAACTTAATGTGATTTCATACATAAATAGGGAAAACAATCTTATTAGATATACATTCATATCATATATATTAATTCTATTTATACTTTTACATAATTATGTATCTTATCACTAATTAAGAGTTTACTCTCATATATATTGAGGAAGATATATCTTTACACATGTACTTTTGCTATCAGATACACTAAAATAGGAAAAGAGCAAAGCGAGATGGGGAGGAAGGTGAGTGAGATGGTTAGGGAGGTGACTGAGATAGTTATGTATCTCACATGCGAATCACACTAAATAAACACTGCATACATGTATTTGTATGTATCTGGTGTGATTCACATGTATATGAGATACCAGATCTATAGGAGAGTGACAAGCGAGATGAAGGAAGGCAATCAAGATTAGTTTATGTATCTTGCTAAACTCTAGAGTATTTAAAATAATTAACTCCTAAACTACACTCTAGAGTGTACTTAAAAGTTAAAACAATCAACTAACAAATCTTAAACCCTATGAAACAACACGCTTAAACCTAAACCTCAAAATAACTATTTGTTGGACTAATATTTTGAGAGTTATGTAGTGCAATAATTTAGTGCGCTATCTAATTCCATTGACCTTAATAGAAACCATATAAACTTTATTTTATCTCTTAATTTAATCAACTTATTTTTTTCTCTTCATTTAGATCACAAATTCTAAAAATAAAAATTTATTAAATTTCATATCAAGCCAAATAGTGTCAAGTTTGATAAAGCAACACTTTGAAAGATGTTGAATTCCATAATTCAACACTTTTTTGAATCCCTTGAAAATTGTGCATATATAAATACAAGAGAATTCTGAATGGAGAAAAGGCCTCTCTGTTGGTGTTGGACTGGCTATCTGTCTGTATCTGAGTCTCTGATACCCTAACAGTGGGTTAGAAAGAGAAAGTGTGAAAGTAACAACACATAAATGTCAAATCTTGTAATGTTTTTGATGTACATGGTATACTCAGACCTGTCATGTATACCAAAATTGTGTATCACAATACTGTATATAGTATGTAATGACAAGTACTTGGAAAAAAATGTACAACTTGGCTAATTTGTGAAGTTGCATGTCACCAAACTTGATATGTATTGCTGCAAATGATATGCAAAACAACAATATATTCAATATAATTCTACGATCTAGGAACTTAAGATGTATACATATCTTATTTCTGTCTTGTGAAGTAGAGACACTATCTCCACAGCTCAAAAAGTTAAGTTATTCGGAAGAAGGGTTGCATGAAGATAATGACGACAAAGAATCAACATCAGAGTAAAATGGTAAACTCACAAGTAATGAATGAGTTGTTATGGAATACTTATGTGGCAATAAATAATGAAGGGAATTTTTGGTAATTAATAACGAAAAAGGGTTTAAAATATTTTAAATTAATTTATGAGAAATGATTAAAAATTCAGATTTAAATGTCAACAGAGAGATTAAAAATAAGATGTCCTGTTTCGTTCTAACCTATGTTTGGAGAGGGTTATTTCATATTTATATCGGTAGAAGATAACATATGTTTTTCCTCTACTTATTACATGATATGTGCCTTTTTTAGTAAAGTGATGTCTTTATTTTATTCGTAGGTCACAGATTCGAGCTTACATTAATAGGATAATAGGTTGTCTATAGCACATCTATCGAGTAGTGCAGCCCTTCTCCAAACTCTATGTAAACATGAAATATTTTGTATATCTAATTGTCCTATTCTATTACATAATTTAAGC